ATACACTACGTTTCATAAGGTCAAACTGAATACCGAGCCCTGAGGAACGACATAGATGACTCTCCCAAACTTGTATTGCCCTTTTGACATTCAGGAGCAGAGTATATGGACACTTATTGGACATGGTATTCAGGAATAGACGTGCTCCTGAAGGCTGCGTCAATTACAGGCTACTGCAGAGTAATAAACATGTTTTTTACGTCRAGGGTCCCCATAACACTAAATTTTTAGTGTCTACTACTCGGGTTGTAATCATAATAACGACATAAACTATCGACTCAGTCAACACAACCTGTCTGACCAAGCTGGTTTGGTGTCCTCATGTGACCACCCTGAGATTTTACTTGGCTTTTATTCTCTGCAGTAATTATCTCTTCAGAAGTTTCCCCAGCATGTAAAGCAAACAATGTAAAGCTAGTATCTTGGCGGTGAATCCAGCGATTTTCCTGGCCCCTTTTTTTTTCGGAATAACCAACCTTGCTCTCTTTCATATCCTATGATATATATATATATTAAATATATAATATAATATAAATATAATATATATATATATCCATGCTGAGGTAGTTATTGAATGCCGGCGGTCACGGTGACTAGCGGCACATGACATTGTTTTTATCGAACAATAAATCAAGGAAGAGTTAGAGGGATATGATTACCTGACGCTGTTGATAAACTACTTTTATTATGATTAATTTCATCTATTCATATTATGGCTGTTTATAATAATATTAATAGAATCTCAAGTTATTTATTGATATTTTAACTAAAGAGTCGAAATACCGTAATATAACATAACTCCCCAAACAAGTTGTTGAGAGTGCATCGTCTATGGAAACRAGAAACTATTTGTTGTAGAAAAAAGGGCACTAAATTTTTATTGGGACTAYAATAATATAATATCTATAAGAATAGCAAWTGAAAAMACAAAATATAAACAAASATGATAATAATATAAATTTGGGCAATGGAATTTTAACGATTTACAGATTAGTGACTCGTCATTTATGTTGCACTCAGTGAAKTTGTTTAGGTTTATAGAATTTAGGAACGTAGAGTACGAGCATTTACGAGCATATTATTGGCATAGCCAAATAGCCGAGTCTGAAACATAATCGGGTCTGTAACACGATCAAGTCTKAACCACGGTCAARCCTACATAATTAAATTACATAGTTAAAATTGTTAACTCGTACTCCGCTACTCCTGTGATCTTCAATATACTACCCTCAATAACAGGGTTACTTAGGCGATAGTTTACTATATAATATAATTATTAGTCAATCATTAAATAAATATTGTCTTCGTTACTATATCGTGTTCAATTGTGTTAGTCTAAGATGCATAGCAGGTCATAAGTTCCTGTAAAATATAACTTAGAAAACTTTATTTTATCAATCCAACAACCCAGTTCTCAAGACYGGTTCGTGTAGTAAGAATAGTTAACCRACTACTCCTTAACTGGATAGGATTTGGTATAAATATCGACAACCACTTAGTTTAAATAAACGAAGTAGGTGTGTTTCAGAATCATTTGATTGATATTTATATTGTATAAAACCATCACGTTAGTGCAACGAGACATACGTTATTATATATATTTAATGAGGGCAAATAAACCTAAGACCTACCGTATATCTAGACCTGACTAGGGTACAAACAATTATTATGATATTAAAAACCTAACGGGAAAAAGGGAAGAGATGCATTAAATTGTGGATTCTTTAACTGGAATAACGACAAGAAATAGGTTACGACAACACCATGTGAACTTAATGTTGAAGGGACAATACGAATAAAAATAAAACTTTTGTATAGAGGCAAAAYATCGATGGCCTTACAATGAGTAAGTTATTTCGGACATTTATTTGACACGTATGGCAAAGCCATGGTGGARGACCTACCGGGGATTATATGAAGGCTAGAAGGTTCCTACGTGTTATGGTGTGARAGTGGTMAAGATGCTGRGTCTGGTGGCTTTTTGTCKTTTGGGTCATCCTTCCAGATCATGGGAGTGAGAAACAGTGGACCGTAGGTGATTGACCCGTCCGCATCGAAATTATTACACCCAGGAAAGCCAGTTTTTACATCAACCACCCCGGACATAGGTAGACGCGTATTGCAAAAACCCGAAGGTGGCTGCATATGATCGATTCAAGTCCAAGACTYAATGGGCCGGGCATCGCCACAACACTGATTTAAAATTAAGAAAGTTTCGATGAATGGAGAGTTAAGTTACAATGTGAATTGCAGCACATAACCTATCATAAATCTTAGAACGATAAATTTTACTATTTATCAAGTTATCAAATTCCTATGTGAATTCAAGCATTTTGAAGAGAAAATATAAAAATGTACTCTGATGTTACGTAKATCTATCTGGTTATTGAAATAATATTATATATTCTCAGGTGTCATTATCACGACGGACTCTTTCAATCTTACAGTATTACTACAATATTAATTGAGCTGTCTAAGACCAGTAATCTGCTAATCATATTTAGATTACTGAAATTATACTGAACTACGTTAAGTTGCAGCACTTTATCAGATTCCGGCGCAGCTTTTGCTACTTAAAATGATCGAGTGTTATTAAACGACAGTGTTAATATCAATAGTCCAATGGCGTGCGTAGAATTTTGGTACAAGAACGGAACAATTTTTTTATAGGTACTCAGTAACTCAGTAGTCAATTTAGGCACCCTGTTATTATGTAGCAATACTACAGTTAGAGTAAAAATATTTGCATTTTATCGGACATTTTAAGTCATATTACCATATGAATTCATCAAATTGTATAACAACACTGTGTAAATAAAATATCGAAATATTTGTAACAAAAAAACGTATAGTTATCAAATTAATCGGCGATTCCCTTGTRCCAATACTTTGAATTCTTCAACTATTTTACCATTATCAAGTTTCATACACACTTTTTGTTGAATACTCATAAAAAGTAAGCTGTCAATACACTCTTGATTTATACTAGCCCGAAGTTAAAACTTTACAATATTTAACTTAGAAAAAGCTCTCTCACGGGAAAAACTTGTGACAGGTACTAAATAGTTCCTATAGAAATTATTAAGAATATATTTTGCTCTTTCAGATTGACCTAGCCATTGAAGCCGCTGAGTAATAATCATTGTTGAAGAACCTTTTGGTATTTATATATTTGGAATATTTTTTATTAGATCGATTTCACTTTTTAATTCATTAATACTAATATCAAATGTTGTAAGCAAATAAATATAATCATTTTCACTTTTTCAGTGCTAGTCAGATTGATTAAATTCTAAACGCAGAAATTACATTTTGAGTTTCTTGATTGAAATATAAATTTAAAACACTAGTTGATATTTTATCTAATGTTATACAAATTAACAAGAATATTAAATTTTTCCTTTATTAGTATAAATTGTTTCTTATTAGGATCAACTCTATATGAAATTTTCAGTTTCCTAACTTCCTGAATATTCGTGTTTAATTTCGCACAAACTCTTAATGTTTCATTATATACCACTTCGAAGCCATTAACTGCAGTTCATATTTTCAAGTTTGAAGTTAGAAGTTTTTGAACYAACTATTACTATAGAGAGTAATATAATAATTTTAAATGCAAATAGAAGCYTAAATCATTCCATTTCATTTATTAGAACTTAAGCTTTTGCTTTTATTTCATTATTTCTTTTTGTTTTTGTTGATATGTACATACAATTATACATTTTGAAAACACAGGATTCGATCTCTTAAATAAGTGTTTAATTTTAAGAAAATTAATAGATCCCGTTGAAATTTTTCTAGTAGCAAGTTTTAGACATCATATATGAATTATACTGTGATATAAATAATATTATACTATTATGCTAWACTTTTAATAGCATAATTATAATTATATAATGTAAAATATATTGTTATTCAAATAATATACATCAATATTAATAATGTAATTATTTAGAAAATAATAATGAATCCTAATATAAGATAGTTATCACTTATCACTGATAATTTCTTTAGTCTAATCTAATTTGTACAACATGTTGACATTAAATGAATTTCAAAAAATGCCAGTTTTTTTTTTTTTATTGAACTGAAAATTTCAAAGTTTTTAGCCGTAGTGTTGTTAGTTTACTGGTACATAATATCGGAATAGTATAATATTATCTAAAAGTAACACGGCGTAATCTATAGGCAAAACAGGTACACAACCGCATCGACAAGCATAATTATTTTAAAATATCATATTTTGGTTTAATCTACAATATTCTTCGTAGCGTACAATAATACTTTTTAATTTCTTCACGTGATCATTAAACAATTAGATAACGTTCGTCTMAATCACTATAAAAAATTGAATCGATCAACAGGTGGATACGTACAGCGAGTTAACGCTTAACGAAAATAATGTAACAACGCACTTGTCGTCCAACGAATTGAATATATTTGTTGCAAATCTTACAGTTTAAACGATACAGACACGCKACGCACGTGCATAGCGAGGCGTACAATTTATATATATACACAAAAAATGAACCGTTGTTCGGAGAAAAAAATCGTTATCATCATCCATTTAGATTATAATACGAATTAAAAAATGTATATTAATAATAATAAAAATAATAATTATTAATAATAATAATAATAATAATAATAATAATAATAATAATAATAATAATGATAATCAGTAAAAAATATTATTGTGGTATAGTAGTCCACGTACGATATATAATTAGGCTTGCGTTTTGGATAGGAGTGAGATAGAGGTCAAAACACACACGTTTGCAGGSTAACATCATACATGACGCGACGTATACGTATATAGTAAATGGCAAGCGTACCGCCGGTAATTATTTWWAAAAAAAATATTAAGAAATTTAACATACTAATAATAAGGATTAAAATAATAATAATAATAATAATATAATAATAATAATAATAAAAAAAATTAATATACGGGCATTACACATCATATAATATATATTATACATAGTAACTACAAGTAATTAATTATGTTGACGATTTGTAAATATACAAAAACAGTTAAAAAAAAAAAAAAAAAATACAAAACTTTGTGTTTTAATAAGAGTCGATATCTTCTACACCAAAACGGTGAGCGACGGTGGAGCCGCTTCGTCTTCACCACCTTCCGAACTGTGGTTGTTATTATTGTTAGTTGGTATTGAGTGTAACAATGACGCCGTATAATGTTGTTGTTGCTGTTGATTGTGATACTGTTGCTGGTTAGGTTGCACTTGTTGATTAAGAATTTCTCCACGACTGCGACGGTTGTACTGTTGCGCTGCTACTTGCTGCTGCTGAAGTTGTTGTTGATGAACCGGTAGTTGATGTGGTTGGTGTGCGAGTTGTAATTGTTGTTGTTGGTGGTGAAGTGGTAGTTGGTGTTGCTGGTGTATTGGTTGCTGTTGTTGTTGGTGTATCGATGGTTGCTGTTGCCGTTGTTGTTGCATCATTTGTAGTTGTCGTCGCTGCTCGTTGTCTACATTCAAAGTCTTTTTGCATAACAATAATGGCTGCGGGGCTGCTGCAGCTAATGGCCGTTGTTGTTGCTGTGTTTGTTGTTGTACTTGTTGCTGTTGCTGTTGTTGTCGAGGAACGGCAACAGCTACAGATCTAACGGCAGCTATTGGCGGTGATGCTACGTTTGTTGTTTTCTCTCCGCCCTTTTCATCGTCCACATTCATGCCTTCGACATCACCATTCTGTTTGCGTTGCAGTTCCGGTGAAGATCCTTCGTCAGCTGAAGTGACATTGCATAACGGGTGAACGATGCTGACACGTGAGCAACTAAGAGACGATCCCGCCGACAAGTTATTGCGTCCGCAGCCACTGCCACCATAGTCACCACCGGCGGCCGTCACGGCGACCCGGTTGCCACCGGTCACCAACCGCTTGAGGTTCTCCTCGTTTTGACGCCGCACCAGTGACAACATCAAACTGTCGCCGCCAGGCACAGAAGGGTCAACGACAGTAGCTGAAGAATCCGACGTCGTTTGACCACCGTTCGATTTCCTCCTGGAACTGCTCCGGAAACGTAGTAACAGGAACGCCGCGGCCGCCAGCACAGTGGCCAACGCTCCGCAGGCCACGCCGATCGTCCAATAGTAGTAGTAGTAATGCCGGTAATCTGTGAAAGTACAAGTCTGGTATTAGTGTTATTTTCAAGAACTCGGTGGTGGGAATAACCACGGTTGAAGCGAAGGACGACATGTGTCCGTCATCAACTTTGAACGCATAGAAAAATAAAAAATGTATATAGGTATTTTGATGGTCTATAATTTAGATCAACTTAGTTGCCACAATTTTTTACTYATAGTAATATGATCGTAAAAAATTATATTCATTGTACTGCATTTTATATAATAATGATATGGGTAATAAAACATAAGAATAAATAAATTATAATGAAAGTTATAATAGGAAAATCATAGTAATCATACCTAACCTTATCAATAACTAAAAACGCATAAATAACCAAATATCTATAAGCTAATTAACAACGCTTTACATTTATCATCAACACATATATGTAAATGAGAGAAAAAACACAAAGTACTCGCAATAAATCATGGGTGAATTACTATTTATTTTCAGCAAATTTCCGTTATCAATCAGAAATAATATATGTCTATCTACATAGGTTTACATCATCAACMTTTCATTAATCAATAAAAATATTCATCKGGAAATAAACAGAAAAAATTATATTGATAATAACGWTAACTGTTCCTAATAATATCAATTATCGCATATAAGAATATTTTGGTTTTTTTTTATCATTTAAGCTACGGCGACATAAGGTCATTGTAAATAGGTCAAATAAGGTCATTAGCTGTAGATTGATTGCACTGTTGGGCTTTTTGAGACTGAAGGTGTTTGGAAYATTTTTGTGCTTGGCAGAATTTCTAGTAGGTACCCGTAGGTTTCTGCCGTGCCCGGGTGGGGGATGGTGGCTCTCTCTCCAGACACCGTGACAGACCGAAAAGAGAGGTGCCGCCTGTGATCGAGGCTCGAACCTGCCGACGAATTAAAACGCTTGGCCACTCYGTCCCCCGTCATATTATGTTTTCATTTAGCCATAGCCGTATACATTATACTATTTTGTTTCATATATCTCCCACTCCATCTTGTCCCTATTAACTTCTCTTAGCACTGACCATTACCTTATAGGTATATAAATTTAGCAGTGTCGGTTATTAAATGGTCGCCGATTTATGATTTCAATCGGTTGATCCCAAAATGCATTCATACGCTATAATATTGTCCAAACAGCATGTTTATAAATTATGTACTTAAGTGAGGGTTACTCAAAACCGCGTCGCCAAAACACGCTACATAGCTATCTAGAACATCGCTCAACGCGAACACTAACCTTCGTTCGAAGAACCGGATGCGTTTGCCGGAACTGGCGTTGAATGCGATTCGCCCGTCACACCACTTCCTAGGGAAACGTCCACTACAGCGGCCGTTAAGAATGCCAGCGCCGCCGCGTCATCGTAGTCGTCGACACCGCCGTTCAGTGTCGGGCGAAGACGGTGTCCAGCGGTTTGAACTTTTTTCGTCGAAGTCACCGTTGATCCGGCAACAATGCCGCCGTTGAGTCGTTTATAAAGCGTTTGGACGGCCCGTCCTACGACCGCTGCAACATCGACATCGTCGTCCTCTGCCGCCGTTGCCGTAATCCGTCTCTGGTGCTGGTGCTGTAGCTGCTTATCTGTGACGATAGCCTAATAGATCAACACAATAAGCAATTAATTCAAACGTGTCCAAACGCTAGAACTGGAAATATAAACTAACATTTAAGGACTCATAATCGATATTAATCGGGTTTAAAAATATTTTGGGAAAACTTAGTTTTAAAAGTATGTATTAACATATTATGCAAACTAGCATATACATACTAATATGTACAAAATCTTATAAAACTATTTATATAGGTAGCCATTATTATTCATTTCAATYGCTATTTAATTTTTATATATTATTTATTTTTCACTAATATGAAAACATCGGGAATTTTAAAACGGGTCCCGATCAATCATGTCACACCCATGACATTTTACGTACCAAAGACACTCGGACAGTGACGCGACGTCGTCGGCGTCGACGGCGGTTGTTGCCGCTACTTCCGGCATTACCACCGCCGATTCGGTCGTCGTCGTTATTTTCTCGCTGATCCTCGGCCGCTTCGCACATGACGTACACTCGATTCCGTCGGTATTCCACGTCGTTCTCTTGACTCAGGTCACCATCGTCGCCACTACGCACCCATTCTCTGGCAAGCAGTCGACGGAGACTGTGGCACACGGCTGATACTCGAGTACCGCGCCGCAGACGCGCTGGGTCCAGAGTAATGCGCAACCGGCCGCAAGCATCAGTACGCCGACGGCGATGCTGTTGGTGTGGTAGACGTTTGTCACTGGTCTGACCGTTTGGCAGACAGTGTTGAACCACTGACGGCCACACCGTAGTGGGTGAACCGTCCTCGTCGTCGTCATCCCCGCCATCGTCCACGTCGCTGTCTTCCACCAACGCGGTCGCACACTGACCCCGGCGACGACGCCTCGGCCACGAACCCACGGCCACGTAAGCGCTGTGGTCGTCTTGGCTGCCATCGTCATCGTAACCGTACCGGAGCCGAACGTCGTCCCTGTCACGATCCGCGTCCACGCCACCACACGGTGGACGCAAACACTGTCTCCATAGAAGAAGGGTGTCCACCGCAGAAACGGTTCCGTCGGTCTCTCCTTGCTTTTCCATGTCGTCTTCAAGTAATTCTTCGTCATCCATGTCGTCTATAATCGGTACGCACACCTGCAAAGAACACGAAGACCCATTTAATTTATGATAACGCCACACCGTATCAGTTAAGGATGGGTTGGAATTTTCCCGAACACTATTCAAATTTGTTTTTTTTTTTCTAACTGCTAGAGAATGAATATATTTTTACTCAAACATTTCGATAGTTTCCAATTATCAAACTTTATCGGATAACAACATAATTATCAAACCGTTGAAACCGAACGAGGGCCATACGGGAATAAAAATAGTATTCTATGGAACCCGGGTCTAAATTATCAATGGAGACGGATGCATTGTGCGTGTATTGACCACAAATGCATACAAGACGTGTAATAATAATACGTGGCGAAAGTTACCTGGTTGGTGCCGGTGCAAGGCATAACACCGCTCAAACAGTCGAAAGTCGCGGGTCCGCACCACATGTTGGTGCACGACATCACGGTCGACTTGTCGTCAACGTTGTCGACCATCGACGATTTAGAGCTACACTTGCACTCGTTGCAACCGTCGTCAGCGATCCAGTGCTTGCGCCGATGACGACCTCCTCCGCACATTACTGTCACGCCGTCGTCGTCGAACTGCTGTTGATCTGCATTCGCTACTGTTGAAGCTGTAATGACACAAATAGACGTCGATAAGAATTAATTGACACGCGTTACAATTACGAAATCGTGTATATACCACGAACGTAACATGACAACGAGACGTAAATTTGTCGACGGCAATAAACTGCAGCGAACGTCGATGAAATATCATAACATATTATTTACATCATTGATGGGTGGTTAGTGGGAGGTAGACAAGGTGTAGGGTGTTTTGTAACGATAACACGATACTGTGTAATATTTCAGTTTATAGGTGGACGCAGGCGATGAAGTGCGTTATTCATTTCGTACCAAAAACTCTAACCTCGTCGCGCATAATTTATAATAAATAAATAAATATACCTGTAAATACGTGCGCGCGTGCATATCTGTAATATGTATTAATAACACGACGCGCGCGCCCGCGCTTGTAAAACGACGACGATGGTCGCGGCCGCGTCCAGTCAGCGGGGCGCCGAACTGACGGAGCTTACACGCCGCTGCCGCCGATTGTTTTTCAGCTCTCGCGGGACGAGACCGGCGCACGACGGACGACGACGTTTTCCCATTAGACCCCCGCGGACGCCGTAACGACGGCCGCTCAGCAGCACGCCGTCGATGAGAAACCACCGCCGTCGTATAGTTTATGACGGTCGCCGCCGCCGTGCTGTACCGCGCGCACGCACACGGACGCGGCACGGACGCACACGTTTTCACAAACGGATCGGCCGCGGGACGGCGGTCATTATTATCATAACGACGTGCGGTGCAGCTATTCGGCGGGTTAGGTGACGCGGTGGGAGCGGGTTATTATTATTATTATCATTACTCGTCAACCGTTGTTTGTAGGCGGAGGCGGCGGTTTCGAATTTATACATTATTCAAACATAAAATACGTACAAATATAATATTACGTATATCATTATAATATGCGCCGCCGACGCGGAGAGACGGACGACGACCGATGACGTGTTGCACCGCCGTTGCCGCTGCTGACGGACGAGCGTTATTGCCGCCGCATAATATTATACCAGCCGATCTTGGGGCGGCCACTTGAGCTCGCAATCGCGCGCTCGAAATGGTGCGCGGCGCGCGGACCCAGCGTGACACCGCCGCGTTTACCTGCTGGACACCATACCACTGAACTGCAGCGTGCGCGCACATTTAATAACGAGATTTCGTTTAAGTTTTTTATTTAACTGTATATAATAAATTACGTAAAAAATCGATATACACACGCTGCGTATATATACTATATTATAATATTTTACAACGAGGCTATGTATAATAATAATGTAATATATATTATGAATGACGGGAGGAAAAAAAAATGTACGTAAATTAGAAATACGTCGTCCGCGTGTTTTCACATAATCATCGTCTGCACGCGTTGGGGTCTCAGAGATCATAATATGATGGTTGCAGGAGTAGTGTATGATAGCACAAAACAATCATTTCGTTTATGTATATAGCTTATGTTTATATATATATATATATATATATGTATGTATGCACCTAAATAAATTATTTTATATTTAAATAATAGGTAACAATCTGATAAAAGTGCATCACCCCAATAAAGTATCTCCATTTAGGTATAACCGTACGAAACGTGATCACGGCACAACATTAAAATATATTGACGTGCGGTGCAGTTTGTCGTTAACTATTTTATTGGCGCCACAAAACTCGGTAGGTTCTCGAAAGGCTCTATCGCGGATTTCAATGATATATTTGAATTGTTCATTTTTACGCTTGTTAGCGTTTAATGCTTATTCCGATTGTCTAATATTAACATTGTCGTAATTCTTTAAGCTGCACCTTTGAATTCATATTACATGTTATAAATCACGGATTAAATAACTTAATATCAGCGTCCAATAAGCTAAACAGGGAAAAATGGATAAAATATTTGTATTTGGTAATAATTTCTGGATTTAAAGAGTACGAAAATATTCATAAATATTACTATAATAATAATTATACGCCATGCTAGACTCATTACTTCTTACGAGTTAATCGAACTCTGCTCTATACATTATATATTATCGTATATAATTATAATATAAACCCAAAATACTTATTCATACGGAGACCCATACAACTGGTTTTAAGCTTTTTTTAAGATATCATATATTATTTGTTGTTTTAAATAAACAGCTTTTGCGAGTGCTGTAACCCCACTCCCAACTCCCAAATTTTAACCTAAAATACGTGTTTAAAAAAATTAAAAAAGTAATAATATTCTATAATTGCAAGTACGTGGTAAAAAGTACTCACCTCTAGCGATGTCGTCATCTTCATCGCCATATTGCTTCTGCTGCTGTCGCCATATCGTTGTTACCGACAAACCACCGCCAGGTCGACGGATTGTGGCCACCGGCGTAATAGCGGTGCTACGCTGCAGTGGTGGCGTCGACGGAGATCTAGTACTGGCCACGGTCGTCGTTGTCGTTGTCGTCGGTGCGGCTGTCGTGGTCGTGGTAGTCGTAGGTCTTGCGGTGGTCGTCGTGGTCGAGGCCGTAGACTTGGTAGCCCCGCCGATGCCACCGTCGGCTGGCACTGTACAGTTTTTGCCATGCCACGACCAACCGTCCCCGCTGCACTGGCAGTAATAATCGTCCGGCGTGTTCAGGCACTGACCGCCGTTTCGACATGGGTTCGGTGTACAATGGTCCCTATCGATCTATCAAAACAACAAATCACGTTGTAAAGATAAATAAATAACTGACTCGATTTATAAGAAAAAGTGTTTTTATTTTTATAAAAAGTTGTGAACACAAACTATATAAGCGTTATGCTTATGACTTATGAAGAATATACCTATCATAATAAGGTTCTAATATAGTTCTGAATTTTGGRCTGGTTAAATTCCTGCACTTGAATTCGTCAGAGTCTCTTACCTCACAGTTTTCGCCTGAATATCCCAACGGGCATATGCAAGAATATGCTTGTTGCTGATGCTGCTGTTTGGCCGACATTCCACCCATTCCTCCACCACGCCAACGACGCGACGGCACGCATTCGCCGCCGTTTTTGCAAGGATTACCTCCGCCAGCCACACCTGATTCGCTATCGCCACCACACGGGTCGATTTGAGTTCTACAGTTCCGACCTTTGAATGACAAAAATAGATATTAAAAATGTTACAATGCATAAGTGTATTATTAGGCTTAAGTCCCTAACCATTGAACAATGACAATAAACTGTGGTTCGTCTTAGGTTTGTCTTATAAATTAAACAAAAGCTTTACATAATAGCCTAAATGTATACTGAATTACTATTTTCTATTGTTTTAAGAGGGGTAGCATTCTGAAAATATTTTTACATAGATACTAATATWGACCTAACTGTTKTTCAATCGATATTATATTTARTTATATAATAATATGATTATATGAACATAATTCTTAATCATAATTTTAAATTATTATGCTTTCTTGAGATAGATCTATAGACTACTCGTATAACTTATAAATAATTTTCATAAATTACAATGATAACATTAGTGTTAAGAATCAACATGTAAAATATTAATTTGTCCATATATTGTCGGTAGAGAGAATGGTTCAAGTTTTTACTCTCCTCAACCAATGATATATTATTACTTCATTAGTTGAAAAATGCGATGGATAATAATTATATGATAATAATATTCTATTTTAAAAAACACGATTGTAATTAAAGTTTAGGATATTTCATTATCCTTAAATGTTTTATTTTTCTATTAACATACCTAGTTTCTAGTAACATATACCTAGTTCATAATTAATTTTGATAAACATACAACACTGTTTAGAGTTATTATTGTCCTAATTATGATGTATAACTTTCTAGATAATAAATGAAAACAAATTTTCTTAACAGATTTCGTAGTTATTATATCGTACATGATTTTAYTATATTTATAAAGTCAATAGTAGAAAATACCTGCATTCAATGCCTAATCGATCTATGTGCTATAACTTTGGGCGCTCTTTCTATCCAACWAAGTAGTCACGTATATATTACATAAACGAAAAATATTGCATGTTATATTATAGTTATAGGAGAAACTAAAAGTAATAAATTTTAACTGGTACAACAATTTGTACCTGCAACAACCTCATGGTTTATGACACTATTATTGCAAAACTTTTTTCAAAAATTTTCACCACACGGCAAATTTATTTATTATTCGTGTGCTGCTACTATTTAAGTATGCGTGTGAACAAGTATTCACTGTTATTGTTCATGGTTACGGGTTTTATCCACGCCCTCAAAAGCATGCACACAAATGTTTGATTGCTTACACGCAAACGTGCAAGTCCAACCGCATGCATAACAGATTGCCTATATGCGGCCCCTCAAAAATCATCGCTCCGATCACACTTTTATTTTATTATCATTATAAATAATAATAGTCTATAATATTGTTAGCATACCTATTAGCAAAACACTAATATTGAAGAATTTCACACTATAGTAACTTATTTGTTATAACTAATTATATATTATATAATTATACTGACCGGTAAAGCCGACTGGGCACGCGCAAGTATAGCCTCCGATCAAGTCCAAACAAGTACCACCATTGGCGCATTTCACGTCCGGTCCAGCACAATCATCCACGTTCACGGTGCACGCAAGGGCGGCCGCTAAAGTTCCATTGTGGCCATCCCTGGAAGTCGTCATTGCCGCTGCCGTCGTCCAGCCCCTTCGGCACACGCATTCCGTGGTCACAGCGACGTTACTTCCACCCCCAGTCGTTCTGCAGGGCACTGCATTCGGACCACACTGCTGTTCGACCCCCGCCGACTGCCGTTCCCTGTGCTGTCGCTCACATTCGTCTACGTCTAAACGATAAAAAAGTTTGTGGTTATATTATTATAATAACATAATGTGCAATCGACACACTGCAGATATAGTGACAAAAATAGAAGCCAAAAGCTCAGAGTGGTTGTCGTTACTATTAAATWATATATATATAWWTATATATATATATATATATGACTCGAAATCGTTATAAATTATAATATACTGCAAACATACCAATTTCGCATCGGCGACCACGCCAACGGTCGTCCGCACACACACAACGCCAGTCGGCCACCAGGTCAATGCACGATCCTCCGTTCAGGCACCGGGGCGGTTGAGTAGCACACTCGTCGATTTCTGTGGACCACGTAATAAAAAATTTAAATTTGCACATTTTCGCAGTAGAGAATACATGACGAATACATTATGATATAAAATACATTATTTGGCATTTGTTTTAATATGTGCCTGAACCCCGTCGGGTTATAGGACTTCGACTACGATATTATATTGTATACAAAATATGACTGCCACTCAAGTTTACCAGTTTACGGGCAAACCAYACGTGCCGCACATGTTTGAGTCGTCGACCACCTCTTAACCCTTTTTAGACCCACTCCCCCGCCGGACTACCCGCACCCATCTACAAACAAAAACCAAGATAAAACAAAACGTCAAAACGTTTATTTATATATATTATATAATAATATTTTTTTCTCCGGTCATCATGGTACAGTCATTGTAATTATAACACTATGCCAGTGACATACCGAAATGTCATCGTTGTCATCGCCGCCACCGCTGCCATCACCGCGCATGTACGGTTTAATAACGTGGGCGCGCGATGTACAGACCACCGCTGCTGCCGCCACCGCTGTAATGACTTTGCGGATAAAACAGCGGAGGTACTCTTAACCCAGCGTGTTTACCATAATAACAATAACGACGTCTCAGGACGACACACACGCAACAAACCAACCAACAAACAAACAACAAATCGTCAACGACATGTCCTTTCTCTTTGTGCGCGAGCGCGAGCGCGCGCGCGTGTAATAATTTCGGAATCGGAATTTTGAATAATAATATCACGCGTGATTTAAATAATAATTCGTCATCGTCGTGCGGTGGCGACGCGATCCCCTCGCCGCCCACCGGGCCACTAGCCATAAGTATAAAGGTACGYRCATACACTGCAACAACGACGACAAAAATCGTCGACGAGTACCCACTTGAAGATAGCACCCCCTCTCATGACCACGTACTATCCGACAGTCAGTCGACCACTCGTCGTTAAAGTCTCTCGACTAACGCTGAGGCAGTATGACCGTTTTCCTGAGATATTCGCATACATCATCGTATAATCGAGGTGATTATTTAAGATTACACAATACAAACACACATATACACACACACACATATATACACGCACACATATATACACGCACACATATATACACGCACACATATATACACGCACATGCACGCACGCACTGCGGTTTGTTCTCTCGCATCACATGCAGTAGAACCAGAACTATAATATTATTTATTTTATATGATTAATGAATATTAGAGTTAATTGACCTGTTATAAAATTTAAATATTCCGAAAACATATTACTTTATCTGTGATCTGTCTTTGATTTTTTCCAATATTTTTTTTTCAATACTAGTTTCTTTTTTAATTGCTTATTTTAATAAAGTAATATATGCTATTGAAAATACCACATTTTAAAATTAAGATATCGAAAAAAAATAATGGACGTAAGATCATCTCTTTCAGATAATATTCACATCATTAAATACGATAATAGAAGGTCGATTAACTCTAATAGATATTATATATACTGTTCATGTTACAAATATACATATATATATATTTATATATTTACTAATTTAAATTCTTAGTATTGGTCTTTTATTCTATGTTTATAAACTATATAATTTACATGTATGTAATTTCTATTTTTTAAATGAAAATAAATAAATAATAATAATAWATGTCTATATGACTATATATGTATAGACAGTATGCATAATAATAAACAATAGAGGCATAAAAATATTCCAACTACATCAATATGGTATGCTGTATAATCCTATCATGTATATTGTATATATACATATATACTTATGCTGCACAGCGAATAAAACATTAAAGTATCTCTACCATCATATTCATATAGGTGTAACATTAAAATACGCTGTATACATTATACCTATTATATTAATTTATTATATGAATAAATATAATTATATGAACAGGAAGTTCATATGCATAGTACATTTTTTTTCACCTAATAATGTTAATAAATCCTTCCTTGGTCAGTTTCCATGAAAATATATAAATAAACTCATTAAAACCTTATTTTAAAAATCTCATTTATATCTAATTAAATGATTTTAAAAAATAGTAAAATATCAAAATAATAAATATAATATTGAATAAACATGTATAAATTAATCACTATTTACTAAAAATTATAACTAGCCGATTATAATATGTTATTTTAAATAGAATCGGTTTTTACATCTTAATAATCCGATCTTTCTAACAGCGACAAGGTAAAAATTGCATTTTAAGTGTAACTCATGTTTTAAGATAAAAAAATTGGTTTTTTAAACAAATATTTTGAATTAAATTATAAAATCGATGCATAGAGACATCGAGATAACATGATGTATAATTAARTTTTAATTAATATATAACTCTAAATTAAATTGCTATTGTTATTGTTATTTATTTATAACTAACTTGTTGTAACATGTAATATGTTGATACATTTTAATTTGTAATAAATAAAAAAAAGTAGGGCATATTAATATAAATACCAACATAAATATTTTGGATTTTTTTTTTTTATGTTGATTTATCTATTTTGTGTAGTCTATAATTATATACGAGAGATGAACTGAAAACGTCAAGTGTGCAATAATTTGTCAATTTTACAATGCAAAACTATAAGCAAGCTCATCGCTGGCTAATAATAGAAATTTGAAAATTTGAAACCTCCCAAGAAATGAATAGAATTTTCAAACGACACCTATAATGTATTTATGTACATAGAAATATGAAACGATTATAGATAAAATATAAACAAGATTTGTAAAAAAACATACGTATTATCTATATCACGAAGATCACGAGATGTATACCTGTATTGCATGTGCTGCCCATCCAGCCGGGCCGACAATCGCAATGGAACTGCTTGGGCACCAGCAGCGGCGTGGATTGAGCAACGGAGCCGAACATCAAAGCACCGCCGCCGGCCGTACCAGAGCCAGATGCACCGGCACCACCGACGGATGCGGTGACAGCGTCCACGGTCCTGCATTTTCCGCCGTTGGCACACGGCTCGGTGGCGCACGGATTCAGCACCACGTCACAATTGGCGCCTCCAAACCCTTCGGGACACGTGCAAGTGTATCTGTCGGGTGCCGTGCTCTTGCACGTCCCTCCATTCAGGCAAGGTTCGTGGGTGCCGCAATAGTTCAAGTCTGAAACACAAAACGTAACGCGTTTAAGCAGCRGCAATGGACGGCTTATGGTATTATCCGTATCATGATAATATTATTACGCTGTACGTGTAACAGGCGCGCGCGGGTTTTTCGATTTCGCTCGCGTGCGCTACGACGTTCACCCGGACCTCGGCGGCCGCGCACGATAGCGGTATGTAACTGCGGCGGTCGGGGTGTTGCCGGACACGACGACGATAAGTAATAGAGGGACGGCGCGGCGTATAATCGGTAGGTAGATATAGGCAGGTACGTTGATATTATTACATGGTGTGCACTAGACACGGTATTTTTCGGTGCGGTATATAATATATATTACGAGACGACGACGACGGCGACGACGACTATATATACAACGACGACGACGATTGAGATTATTGTAATTACAACGATATCGCMGCGGATGCGTGCAGGTAGTTGTTGTTGTTGTTGTTGTTTCGGTGAGTGGTATAGTGGGGTGGTGGCGGTGTTGGTGTGCTGGTGGTGGCAAAGGTGGGGCGCAAGCAGGGCGGGTAGTGTTTTTTTTTCATACATATATATATATATATATATATACGCTATCCGCTATGTCCGTGTGATCAATTCGTCGACGAGTAATAATTTAATATACGTACTCAGTTGCAGAGCGATGTAATAACCATACCTATATATAATGCGCGGGCTCGCGCGCGACCGTTCGCCGGGTCTGTCGATCGCTAAGCCGCCACGGCCGCTGATGAAAACGAGTTTTCTAAAACCATGAGGCGGTGGCCGTGGTGGCGGCGTGCGACTCTGCTACCCGCCGCCGTTGCACAACGCTGCGGCAGCGGCAGCGGCCGTAGAATCGTGATCCGACCGTCCCAGAATACGATTACGCTGGCGCGTGATTATTACCCGCGAGGCGGCGCGAGCAAATACGGCTCGTACCTACCCAAAATATGCGCACATACACGCAAGTAGGTGGACCGATATACATACATATTATATTGTATTATAATATTATATATTTTACATGCCGAATAGGATAGGTGGACATGTGCGAGCAAGTCGAAAAACATAACAGTCGCGCGTCGTGCGTATTAATAATAATAACAACAACAACAATATTATAATGTGTACTGCGCGGCAGTAACTGTTATTAGTATATTACACGGTACTGCCGTTTTGATTAAATGCGCGGAGGCGGCAATGGCGGGCGCGACCAACGACGGTCGGATTTTTACGCGCGCGCTCGCGGTCCCCGTCGGCGGAATTCGCGGTACGTCGAAAGCGACAGTTGGTGGGCCCGCGGCCCGCGGGACAACGGCACAAATAGTATTATTATTATTATTACTGTTATTATTATTACGTTTGATAATATTTTTATTGGTTAAATATCAACCCCTACGTAAGGTTATAATAGCTTTAACAAAAGTATTAAACTTTTACAATGTTACAGTACAATTCTTTTTTTAAGGTATAAAATTATGTTTTGGTAGTGTGAAAATGAATCAATTGCTTTGTGCAGGTTTTCAGCGATGTTGAAGTCTTTCCTAGCTTCATTGCTGTTTAGGCAGTTGACGGTTTGATAATATTATATATTATTAGTTTATCGTGATATAAAAATTGTCTTTCGCCGATAATCGACTATATGTTAATGTTTAATATAATTAAAGCTATAATACCGGTGTTGGTGGTGTAATAGCTGCGTACGACGGAAACGGAAATATTACTATACATTTATAACGAAATATGGTAAACATTACTATCGCGCAGGACAACGACACCGCCGCCGCGCCGGAACAATATCATAACGAATATAATATGCTATGATATATTATTATTCAAATAATATATAATATATATATTATATGGATATTATGGTAATAAAAAATACGTGGACACATACGCACTTAATCTAAACATTTTCTATTAAAAATATATATATATATAAAAACGTGTAAGTAAATAAATAAATAATTAATTAAATCAAATGTTTTTATACTACAATTATTTATGTTTTACTATTTTTTTATAGTTTATAGTAGTTATACTTTATATCATTATTTTAAATTAAATTACTGAAATAAAAACCGTGATACAAAAAAAAAGAAGAAATAAAGATAAAATACTCGATAAACACGATGTCMGGACTGCATAAGGAGGAATATAATACCGGAATGTTTTTTATTTATCGACAATGGTAAATACGTATACGAGTATAGTCTCACGGCAATAATTTTTTCCATCCTAGTTTTTTAGAACATTAATATTATTTTTGTACCATGTTTCATTATATTATGCTATACATCAAAAATTAAGAAAAACAATTAAAATGAAAATTAGTTTATTCATAGTACTAAAAAACAAAATCATAATAAACTATCCCAATAATGCATCAAATTACAAATATAATATACATACAGCATATTAATATATTAAAATTTTTGCTAGATACTCGTTTAAGAATAATATGTAGCGAATATATAATTTACTCCGATATGCTATTTATTGAATTTAAGACGTCATACGAGTATACGTTTAATACTATATATTATAAGTTCTGTCGGTAGTTACTATGGTTATATTATAGATATATAATAATACCAAGATCATGAAGCACTTTATTATTATTATTGTTATACTTTGCACGATAGTTGGCGCCTATCTAGACGTTGACCTTATTCATATTTCATTCTATCGCAAATTCGCGACTAAAAAGGTTAGAGTTATCTTCTATATTTTTACATAATATATACACAAACACATAATATATTAATATGTATGCAATAAATAATATAGAAATAGTAATACTATAATAATTACGGTGTTATATAAAGCTAGATATTTATTATATACCAGCTGTTCACGCTATCCTTAATTTAATTAACCGAATAAATCATAGTAAAAGCAGAACGTATTCACATTCAATCAATATTAATTATTATTCAAAATGATATCAGCTAGTAGATTTTGATATAGTAAATGGAAGCGATAGGTATTTATGGACAAAGCAAGGTATTGATCAAATGATTGTTAAATTATTTTAAGATATTTAGTAACACAATTCTTATTATATGTATATATCTAGTTTATTTACAGCATTGCAACTGACTTTGTTAGTATCACAATATTATATTATGTATTAWGTTTTTGTACATATTTTTTATGTACGACTGAACGAGTTTATGTATAGAAAATCAAATGGGTTAGCCTACTATCCTACTATTATTTAGTATATTCCGAGGAAAAGAAAATGTCCATCCGCGAAAGCTGTCACGCATATTTATAACGAAAAAATGTGTGCTTATGAAGCATATAGTGTATGATGTTTCATATAGCAATAAACCATAGCATTTGAAAGACTATATTGTTTCCAAAATGTTTGCTCATGATAAATAAACTAATATTTCAAATAAAATTAACATACTTTTTAATAATGAAAACTATTGAAAATTATAATTAAGCATAAAAATTTARCAATTAAAAAATATTGTTTTGCTGAGGACTGATAACTGATAAGTGTGATTGCGTAATAATAATAATTTATTAGTTATGAAATGATCAATTTCCTTTTTAATGGTAGTATATAATAGTAAAATGTATATTATTATACGTTAGTTGTAGTGGAATAATAATAATTTAGCGTTGGCAATAAATATGCGGCGACACGACTTCGATTGATCGATGATCACAAATTATGCGATCAATATAATAATAAAATATAACTCCCTTCCCAACCGTCGTATAAATAACAAAACCAAACGACTACTAAAAAAACTTCAAGCATCATTATATTATATGAATGTGTATGAATAATATATTATGTACAATACATAGGTATATTTTTTTTATTGTAAAAAATCAATCGTGCAGTACCATCACCGCCGTCATGTACACGTGGAGAACCATATTGAAAAATATATTAGTATTATATAGAGTCATATATTATGTATTGTATTGTTTTGATAAATAATTGTATATACGATTTATAAACGACAACCAAGAAAATAATGAAAAAAAATGCATAATAATGTGACTATATTTTATCATTGAATGTGATAATCTTACAACCTACGACGAAAGTGCGAGTTGTTTAGACAATTTTTATAATTATTGTAATAAATGAAAAAGTTTAATAAATTCAACGAAATGTCACTCGAACGCACTGTACTTTTGTAATTTTTCTTTGAAGTAATGGAGCGCGATTATTACACGACCCCACTAATTTACTACTCAATGGTTAAAAATACCCATAAAAAATCGAACGTTTATATTATTATAATACGAAACGCGCGTAACCAAAAATGACGACTAGGAAAGTAGGAAGACAACAATCGTCGCGCGGAACGGATTATAATTTTTATGAGCTCTAGGCGTCCCCACCCTCCCTGCAACGCCACAACCATCACCGCCGTTTTATTATTATTCTATCCGATTTTTATACATGCATATAGGTGTATAATATATTTATTTTTTTTTTATCGGACCAAGCTGTCGATTGAAAACCACCGATATTGCCGCCGAGGCGGGTGATTCGATACGCACCACTAATCATTAAAAAAAAAAGTCACAATCGGCAAACGGACCCTAGGTATAAATATATCTTCTGCAGTAATGCAGTAATATAATAGTCACCGCTTCGAGATCGATTTCAATAAAAAAAAAATAATAGTAATAATAATAAAAATAATAGTAATCAGGGCTATGAATGTATAATAGCATTAATAAAAAAAATCAAAAGTACACTAGTGTCTGTATATTTATACATGCAATGGAAAATGCACTAAAAAATATGCAATTTAATTGATGTATGATGTAATAAAAAAAAATAAAAAAAGTACGTAACGTAAAATAATTCCATGTTAAAAATACAAAGTATGCAAGATAAAATATCTTATACACATTCTTTTAACTAAATGAATGGATAAAACTAATCCAAATACCACGTCATGATTCACAATCGACAAAGAAGACCCATTATTGATTGTATGTATACATACAGGTAAATTTCATTGTTGGGACAAACATTAGTACTGATTTCTTAGTCATGATCTTGATTTCTGAATGATGTGTATAAACTATATAGGTAGCGAAAATATTTATGTTCAGTGACTGATATACGGATTAAGATATTCCGATCCATTCAGGCAACTATTTCTTTTGGCGCCAATAAATAACATTTCATAATATGATATCCAAAATATAAAATGTTTATACTAAGTACAATAGTTGAACCCTAAAGGATTTATGGCGAACAGGTTGACGGCGTCACGTCGTCCCGCACCTAAACAAATAACAAAGACCAACCCCAACACGGCAGCACCGTTTGCATGTCAAAATATAGAAATTATTTTAACCTGAAAGTATTTATACTTATCAAACAATACATCTTAACTGGACATAACGCACAGTTCTCGGAAATAAACTGAATTATAATGGAATTTTTGTGATTGATAAGTGTAACAAACAAAATACGCCTTAAATTCATTAAGCAAATATATACCTATACTGCGTGATAAAACAAGTCTATATTTCGTCTCAAAATATAAAAAATGCTTACCTTGATCGCATAAAATGCCTCCCCAGTTTACGTCACATATGCACTGCCAAGAAGTTCCGTTACAATATCCGTGCTTGCATCCAGGATACGTCATACACTGATCACACAGCTCACCCTGCCAACCTTTCMGGCACCTATTTTTATATTAAACAAAAACATCAGTATTAATACGCATACAAATTTTACACGGATAATTTATAGTAAATATTATAACGATGTGCCATCGTGTTTGGAAACGGAAGTATGAAAAAAATAAATATTTCATCCAATTATAATGAACTGCGATATAGAAGAGGTAAACGTGTGTTTGAAGTTTTTCAAAAATTTTAGCATTTTAAACTAATTACAGTATTACACTTTAATGTATATAACGTAAATGAAAATATAATTATTTCAGAATAAATTGTTGAAATTAATATCCTCCACATTAAGATTAATCAACCCTCCCCACAAAAAATTATATATATATATATATAAACAATCGATGTTTTTAATATATTATATAACTACTCTTTAATTTTTATTACCTATTCAATAGTTTTATAATATTCGTTAATTTAAAGATCAAATTAAATGCACTGAATATTTCGTAACAGAATAAAATGAATTTGTTTAATTATTAGTTGTGTAATGTGATTAAAGGGGAGGTCACTCACATTTCAACCATACAATTATAATTGTCATGTATAATCATATAAAATGCTCTGGGCTTTAATCTGATWATAAGCGAGACATATTCAATTAAACTTGTTGCACACTATATCAAAATCTTAAAGAAAATAACTCTTTGATACGTTAATTTTTTTCGATTTAATATGCTAAGTATTACCGTTAAGTTGAATACCGGGTATGGTGTATTATTGTATTAAATTGTTTTAATTTAAATTATTGTTTCTAATTTTAACAATCTTACAATATAAGAGACATAGAAGAAGTAATGATTTTAAGATATCGATGATGTATTCAAGGTTACTGTTATTTATTTTACCGTATACCAGGAAATATAAAGGATTTTTTAAATTTTTTTTCAACGTTTAAGAGTATATTATTTTACGATTTTCTTTGATTTTTAATGTTATATTTGATCTAAAAATTAAAATTAAAATTAATAATCATCGTATAATTTCTAAGACTTAGTTTAGAATAAAATAATCACCTCAATGATTGTGTTCAGTTCGCTGAAACATTGAAAACGCTTATTTCCTTCTGAATAATAATTTAGACATCACATCGTGCTTCTATAAGCTTTATGATCAATATGATTGGATGAAAAAGTTATTCTTACGGCTCATACCGGAAAACTCAATATCCGCGACCTTCCGACTAGGTTAACTAGTCTGAGGTCTGCACCACTTCTGTGTGGTGTGAATAGAAACTAAGCGCCTACCTATATATTTACAGACTCRAAATGGAAAATGAGGACATACACACAATTTATGAACAACAACATTGTAAGAGTATTATGCCCACATAGGAAAAAATATGATAATATTGATATTAGGTCTTATCATAAAGTCACCGCGCCGAGATTGGCTGTATTTGAACGGCTTGATCGTGATTTGAAATAGGGTTTTAATGATGATTTTAAGATCGGCGGAATTGTCAGAAACGCGTGGCCGTAGTGTCACAAGTAGGCATACAATAATAAATAATTATATGATTATATTCGGCAATAATATCGTATCGAATTAATTAATAATAATAATATTAAAGTCTCACGCGCAGCGCAGTGACCGCCACCTGCATCATCCTCACCACACGTTATATGCACGCATTTCGTATTCATCGGACGCCGTTGTGTGAGAACTGTAGAGGGCTTGCAGACTACACGACGAAATTCCGCCGCCGCCGATGCGTTTATTAAAATTCGGCCGGCGTACTCCCCCGCCGCCGCCAGCGACCACGGCCAGGACGATGACGACGACGACGGGCGACCGAGCCTGCCGCGATAACTCTCGAAAACTCACTGTCGTTTCCCACGCCCCCGCCTCCCCCGAGCCCGCCAAACAAGCGAGGGCGGCGGGCCGGCGGACCGTGTGCTGGCCACAGTCCAACGACGACGAAACCGTACCGGCGGTGACACGGCGTCGTGTTTACGATATAGTATGATATTATATATATATGCCCACACGGTGGTTTTCATGATACGAATACGCGATGATGAGTACGACGGTGGACAACAGATACCACTTGTGGTGGGAGGGTAGTGGAGGCCTTGAAGGGTACGCCGAAATTCGTCTTGGATATACCTATACATAAATACCGAATTTCATATATTTACTATTTTCGTTAGTATTATATAAGTTGCATTGAACTTTAAACCACCCCCTCTTCAAGGTATAGTTTGATCTAATGTCACACTTTCCAATACGTTTAGGATCGATATGCCGCAACATTACTGCAACTATTATATTTAATGCATGTTATAATTGGTATTGATATTTTAACATAATACTAGCGAACGTCAATGCAGCAGTGAACAAATAATATTTTCTTGAATTCAATTTAATGTACCAACATTGATTTATGCTGCAAATGAAATAAAAAATGTTCCTTTTCAACGATGGTTTTCTAACCTTTGTTTGTATACMAAAAAACATTCCAAACGCTCTATACAGCTGAGGTAGGGAGGTGGTATAAGTACATATCATCTGGTTTTCGTTGTTAGTGACCATAATACCGACGAGGGAGCCTTTTATTCTACCTATACCCTATTATCATAATTTAAGTGCTAATTCGGAACAGTGAATTGACTGCAGTGCGACAATAAATCGTAAGATTTATATAGCTAAAAGTTGTGCAGTGTGTACCGATGGTTTCTGTACTGAAGTCTCACGAAAATGGATATCCAATTTTACAGTCATAATGTATGAAACATATAACTTTTACAATATAGTGAATAGTGATCGGTTTAAATATAGAGTTGATAATAATTTGATATCATAATAAATAGGTACACATTATATGATAGCGATAACCGTAACGGGAAGAGGATATATGCTGTAGGATTCATTTCGGCGATTACTCTGTCACATATCTAGTTGCGCAACCTTTACATTTTAAGTCGACGGCCGGACAGCAATTGCCAGTGTGGACGGCTTTATATCCTCTTTCCATGTATTATCGCCGACGCCAAATTATCGACCATTAATATAACCGTTATCATTAACGGCGGAACATTGACGGCAGTACACCGAACATCGAGGTCGTGACCATCGTCGCCGTCGTCGTAAATTATGTATATGATATATTATATTTAATAACCACGCGTAGGTTTTCCGATATAATTGTATAAGTGTATGTATATAACAACTGCTGTAAATATAATAAGTATATATAGTAATATACTTACTCGCAGCCTCCGGGATTAGCACAATGTCCGTGTACGGGATTGCATCCGGTCTTGCACACGGCTGTAAATAAATTTAAAAAAAAAAACGTGATTATAATTACTATATATTAACACTAAACATAAGTGAATCGTTTGATTATCGTTCATATAATCGTATTTATATAATATGGACGAAGTGAAGGAGTAAATTTAAGAAAATCCAGTCACTCACCTTTGTCACACGTCTCGCCCTGCCAGCCTGGTATGCACTCTTTCCGGCCGTCCGTGTCACCGCACGTATAATGGCCAAACCGATCGTCTCGGGGCTTGCAGAGTTTTGTGCAATTTTGTCCGTAGTAGTTGCGATCGCACCTAACGCGCACCCGGTACGCCATGCGAGCCGTATGGCCCAGGTGTGACAGAGCTTTCCACTCGTTTCCAGGCAACAAGATACCGGAATATGTAGCCTCTTCGATAACTGACGTCAATCCTGCGAGAATACGCATCATTAAATAATGAGTTACATATAGGTGATGTGTGTATTATTTCACGATTATAATAATTATATTATATCACTCGATAATCTCATCATTTTTGCGTAGTTTGTAATAATATAAATTATAATTCTTAACTAAAAATATTATAATATTGACTTAGCGGTGAAGTAGCCTACCGAGAGATACCGGAAAAGTAAATACTTTCTGTAATGCGCTACAACTTCTAGAACCTATAAGAAAACAACATAGCTAATACATTAATTCGGGTGGTGTCCGTTCAATAATATATCTACATCACGATCGATACAACTGGATCAAATCCTTCACACAAATTTATTCATGTTCACGAAAAAAATTAATAATTACCAACGTTTAGTTAAATATTTATTACTTATATAGGTATCATATTAAATGTGTTTTATATTGTATTATAAAAGAACGATTATTTTTTATAGTCGAAATTATTTATTAGAATATAATTAACTATATTATGACTATATTGTAAACACCTAACTATAATAATATAATAGTTTATTCGAATTATAATAATATTATGTCTGTAAATCTGTGATATTTGCTATATATATKTTTTATTATGATTATTAATTATTTTAATCGGTCAAATTAAGTTAATAACGTGGTTGCCGGTTGATTTCTAGTCGGAATAACTATATAATCATTCGACTAAATAACGATATTTTCGTAAGCCAGCAACAGATATAAATTGTGTAGCTGTTACAAACAGTAATAATTATACAATTACGGTTAATCCTATTATTTCTGTGTTACAGAATCGACTGCTTTTTTTTTTTTATCTATGTCGCTGACGTTTTCGACTCGGCCACCGCCGCCGCCACCGGACGAAAAGCCGGTACCGCGCCGCCGCCGATTCGATTCGGTGCTTGCCGCTCTCTCAGTTGTAGGTTGTATATTACTATTATTATGTTATGTTGTATATACATAATAATAATAGTTGCATTGGACAACACACACACACACGCACGCGCCTGCGCTCAACAATACCTAGTATAACAACGACGCGCGTGGAATTGATTGAGACGATTTTTTATTCCTTTTTCTATTCTCCTCTGTCCGTTTCTTAGGCGTTTCGCCTTGGCTACCCTTTTTTTCCTCCGTTCTGTTGTTCACGCGCGTTTATCTCTCCACCGTAGGTAGGTGTACAACAATAGACTTCGTTGTTACAATCACACACATACTCGGTCGCACTCACACACACACGCATACATACATACATACATACATACATATATATATATATACGGACAAACCGACGGACGATATACATCATATTATTATTATATAAATGTGTGTGAAAACAAAAAGAATATACTACGACAAATCTTCAATAGTATATGTATAGATAGGTACAGTAATGTAATAGTAATGAAAATATAACAACACAATAGTAATAAAATCGTCCCGCCGCCGCCGCATTCCTACACGGAATTGGAAATTGGAATCGTATCGAACACTGCACTATTATACATTACTATTATAGCTATAAGTAATAATAATAATATAATATAATATATAGTGTCTGGAGTATATAGTAATAATAATGATAACAATAATTTTATTATATTGTATAAAGTACCAATGATGATAGTAATAAACGACAATATCATCGTTGCCGAGCCGTCGTCGTCGTCGTCGCTGCAGCGTATGTGGCCCCCAGTGGAATGGGACGTGATGCCGCCGCCGCCGTAGCAATAGCGCGACGAAACGTCGGCTACGATTGTTGTGATGCGCTTACCCACCGCAGTCCAGATATCAATACGTACAATATAGAATATAATATATAAACATAATCCGACAACCGGACAACGACAATAACAACAACAACAATATACGTCTTCGATCGCCTCATCCCATATAATATTATATGTGTGCGTAGTATTGACGAGGGTCGATGACGATTACACCAAACTCGTTCGCATTGTACGTATGTGCTGTGCGTGGGCGTATCGCGCGTGTGTGTATGCATTATATATATATATATACCTATATGACCGGCCGAGTCTCGTCGAGCCATACATACAATGACGACGACAATAATATATTAATAATAACGATATATTGATATTATTATTATATATTATGTGACATTATCGTTTTATGGTCTCGCGTGCTCTCGACATACATACTACGTTTAATC